TCTTTTCTTTGGCCAGGTCTCTCTGGATCAAGCACGTTTGATTCATACAACTTTGAATAGTTTTTGTGATGCATCTAAGTTAAAAGTAAGTTTGATCAAGTCTTGCTTTGTGGCTTCCAAGAAAGTTGACAGTAACAAGGTGGATGATCTTTAAACCATTTTGCAAATTTTGAGTACTTCTAGAATTGACAAGTACCTTGGCATTTTGATGATTAATAAGTTAGTTGATTTCCAGTTCATTATCGATCGTGTGAGGGAGCATGTAAACTCTTGGAAGTGTAAGTTGCTTAATAAAGCAGAGAGGTTATGCCTGACTCATTCGGTCATATCAACCATCCCAAGTTACACTATGCAAAGACTCTAGTTACCAACAACTACTTGTGAAGCATTGGTTGACTAATGCTGGGAATCGTTACTGGTCTTTAGCCAGTTGGGGTTTAATCACTCTCTCAAAGAATAGAGGCGGATTGGGCATTCGAGATGCTAGACAAGCAAATATAGCACTCCTTAGGAAGTTAGTTTGGGATTTATTGCATTTTCCTGAGAAGTCTTAGGTGCAGATATTTCACTCAAAATATCTACAACATGAGACTTTATGGCAAGTTGAAGAGAAACCTGGTTCCTCCTATGAGTGGAAGAGCATCATTCGAGATTTTCAGTCCCTTCATATGGGTTATAAAGTGAATCTTGGTGTTGTTAACTCCTCACTTTGGTTTCACAATTGGCTTGGGATGGGTACCTTGAGTCAAGTAGTGCCTTAGTACATATAAGTGACTCCCACATGAGGGTCTTTGATTGCTAGTCACAAGGTTCTTGGTGCTTAGATATCCTTGCTACTTCGTTGCCTCCACTATGGAAGGAACAAATCTGCCATAAGCAGATTCCCTCAATTCTTAATGGTGACCAAGACTCTTTTTTGGGCTAGAACGATGTCGGGTTGTTACTCCATAGCATCTGGTTTCCACTTTCTGTTCCCTCATGGTCCAGATCCTTCTCCTCCATTCCGGAAGAAGCTTTGGAGTGTCGAAATTTTGGAGAAGGTCAAAATCTTCCTGTGGCAAAGGTTGCATGATGCCCTCCCCACCAATAGCAAACATTTTCGCTGTCATATCTCTATGACAGAATCATGTCCTCGCTATAACCATTCTCGTGAAGACGGACTACATGCACTCCGCGACTACTCAATATCATATATTGTTTGGGAGATGGTAGGAGATACCCTTATTGATTTCCTTTCTATGAATTGCACCATATCTTGGATCAAGTCTCTTATTTTCCACCCACGAGCAATGAGACTTTCTTTGATGGCTTGGTGGGTATGAGACTCCGAAACACAATGGTGTTGAGTACTACCCACTGGACAGCTCCTTACGTGGTGCATTAGATCAATGCAAATGTGGCTGCGAATATGGTGCTCTTAAAACAACGCAAATTATGGGAGGAACATGCATCTTGGGTGGCCCCTAAGCATCCTAATGTTAAACTCAACACATATGGCAGTTGGTGACCTAATACTAGGTTGATGGGTACTAGGGGTGTAATAAGAGACTGCATGGGAAAGTGGCTTTTTGGCTTTGCTAATTCCGCTCGTATGGGAGACCTGCTAAAAGCGAAACTAACAACGGTGGTAGAAGGATTATCGCTCTGTTGGAATGTGGGGCTCAGACACATTATTTGTGAAATGGATTGTGTAGAGGTGATTGAGGCTTGCGAATCCTCCTTGGATAGAATTGAGAGGCGAAAGGATTATACAGACATTATTTGAATCCTAAAAGAATTATTATCACGACATTAGCAAATTTCTCTTAGGTGGATTCCTCGAGAGATAAATAAGGTGGCTCATGCCTTGGCAAACTAGGGAGCCTCTAGTTCAGTAGAGTACGTGGTTTGACATAAGGCACCGACTTTCATACTTGAGGCAGTGAAGTTGGATGTCATGTCCTCTATGTGTATTGTCTAGTTAATTTCCTTCGGTTTATTTTTGTTTGTTTGTTTATTCATCACTCTACAAAAAAAACCCTATGTTTTACACTCTTAATTTCAACATTTTTTAAATCCTAATTTTTTCACTCTATCTTTAATATTATATACATTGGATACAAGATTGTAAATTCTATGAAGATATCATTTTCAAATACATTACCTAATAATTTTACGACGAATTATTAATTAGAAAGAATATTATTTTTTATCATCACCACTTTGAAATTGTACTTTTTGATTATTAAAATACACTTTCAAAAAATACTTTACATAAAAGTAAAAACATTTCTTTTCTTTTAAGTATATATTTTTTTTTTGTATTTTCCAAAAATATATTTTTTCACTTTTGAAAAGTAATTTTTAAAAGTATATTTTTACTTTTGGAATTTAGGTTGCTAAAACAAATTTTCAAAAAATATTTTCAAGAAACAAAAAGAAAGTACTTCTAAAAAATATGCTTATGAAAAGTGTTTTTTGTAACGACCCGGCTGGTCACTACACACTACACAACACCACAACACCACAACACCACACAGAAAAGAGCAAGTATATATATATATACACAAGGTTCAATTTGAGCTAACATCAAAGTATACAAATTACATCCAACAATGCCACACTAGGTAGCTAAAACAACAAAACATCAAAAGAATCAACTCTATTTGCCAGCTGCAGACCTGCCTCAACTCACCAACCTAGCCTTGCTCTGCTCCCATACAACGTATGATCATCGTAGTCCAAACACATGGAAACAACAAAGGGTAAGCTAGTGAAAAGAATCATCATACATATATATGGAAATACATGAATAGTAAACAACTACAGCTATCAGCACATCATCAGCATACAGCTCATCAACTATATAGCGTAAACGGCAATAAACACACAATGTGTCGTCACGCATATCAGCTCGGAGAATCTCCTACAACAGCTCAGCCTTATGACCTACAACAGCTCAGCCTTACGACCTACAACAGCTCAGCCTTACGGCCTACAATAATTTATATCAGCATACAGCACATCACAGCTTAACAGCAATAACAACATTCAGCACAACTCAATAATATACAGCACAACTTAAACAACTTAAAGCACAACAATATTTAAATCAGGTCAACATTCAATAATAATAGCTCACAGCTCCACAATATTATTATTCAGCTTAACACCATTCATCAAAAGCATCTCAGCTCAGCATATATCAACATTAATCAACATTTTCCAACACATATCAGCATATATAGTAAGTACACATCCGCGCCCGGCGTGGCCCAATCAGAGAGCATCAGGGCTTCAACACGCCCGGCACAATTCCTATTGCGCCCGGCGTGTTAAGAGGCAGAAACCTCAAGAGGTCTCACACGCCCGGCGTGCAAACCCGCGCTTGGCGCAAGGTAAGCAGAGACTTCCCCAAAGTCTCAGGACCGATGCAATACCAATTGCGCCCGGCGCCACCTCTAGCAGAGACTCCCAAGGAGTCTCCACGCCCGGCGAGACATGGTCACGCCCGACACCACACCAGAAATCCCCAAAACATGTCACACTCTGATATCGCGTCCAGCGCGGTCCCACCACGCCCAACGTGGGCCATCTAGAGGCTCACATTCTCAAGCTCGCCCGGTGCACACAGCTCTGCGCTCGGCAGCGTGTCCAAATGGAGCCCTCTGGTGGGCACGCGCCTGGCGCGAAGAACTACGCCCGGCGTGATACTCAGTAGCAACCCACCACGTTCGAAAATCTTACCCAAAGCCTGCAAAAATTAACATTTCCAACACATGCAAACCAGCCAAAATGCCACATTTTCACCAAACAGCTAAAAAATACCATCTTTTTACACATGCAATCACAAACAAGGAAAAATCCCCAAATTTCACCCAAAACCCCGAAAACCCCAAAACTCCATTTTCATCAAATCTCAGCCCTCAATCTGCAACAATCAGCCATCATGTGAGTTTCTAGCTCTCTAAAACAAACAACCGGCAAGAAAATCCTAGCCTCCCTTACCTCGGTGAAGAACTCCGAGCTTCGGGACAGCTGAGAATGGAGAAAAAGGAAGAAAATGCTTGAATGGAGAAGAAAACAAGCTTGAGGAATCAGCACCCGGGGAAGGAAATCAGCTCACTCACCACCCGCACCTACAGCCACCAAGATCACCACAAGGGATTGAGAGAAAAGGAAGGAGAGTAAGAGTGAGTGAGAGTTGAGAGTGAAAGAGAGTCGGGGAGAGAAAAAGGAAAGGGGTCTCACACATTTTTGACATGTAATTTTTTCTTGATATTTAGGAAATAAATAAAAAAATGTATAAGACATATATCATTATATTATCAATTAATGAAAGTATATTTAACCAAAAGTTATCCTATAATTTTTCATACAAATTTGACAAATCTCACCCATTTTACCAATTTTCACATAAAAGGATAAAAGCACAACCAATTGTTGGAAAACTCTATCACCATTTATTTAATAATATTTATTTATTTTTTTAAATAAAATTTAATATTTAAATTTTAAATAAAAAATAATATCACAAATTAACAAAACAAAGTCTTTTAACTTATACAATATAAAAAATTTATTTTATACTAATATTTTAGCCTGCATATTATATAGATTAGATGTTTATATAACTACAATTTATAATAAATTATATAAATAAATATTATAATTAAATATATAAATTATATTTAATTTTTACATAAATAGATTTTACATTTTAAATTCATATTAAAAAAATTTATTGTTACATAAAATTATTTTTAATTATTCATAATTTATTTTAAAATATTAAAATAATTCATAAATAATATTTGATAATAAAATTAAATTAAACAAAAAATTATAAAAAAACTCTAGTCCAAAAAAGTGTCAATGAAAAAAGAGAAATCTCTAAAATTACTTAAGAAAAACATTCAAATTAAAAAGAAGTTTTCAAAAATACTCTAATGAAGTGAACAAATAATAAATGTTAAATGAAAAAATAAATAAATAAATAGAAGAGGGGAAAACATAATAATGAAATATCAAATTGATAAATTCAAACGATAAAAATTGGAAATTCGGGTTTAGGATTTTCGATTTGGGATTTCCATAGGAACATTGGAAGGAGATGTAAGAGCAGAATTGGGTTTCGATTTGGGGTTTCGATAGCAACGTTGGAAGAATCTGGTTGTGTGTCGTGGTTGTTGTTCCACGATCAAAACGATGTCGTCGCCGGACATTGGCTCGATATTGGAGAGTTCGAAGGAGCTCGATCGGGTAAGGAAAGAAGAAGAGGATGTTCTGTCGGAGATCAACAAACTCCACAAGAAGCTTCAAACCAGTGAGTTTCTCTCTTTTATTCATAATTTTTATTTTGGGTTTTTTCTCAATGACGCCTCTTTATCTTTTTGTGATCCTTAAAGGTCCATCATGTTAATGTATGTTGGGAAATCAGGTGTTTCTTCCGTTTTTTTTTTTTTTTTTCCTTTTATCCAATTTTTTTCTTCTTCTTTTTTTTGGTATAGAATACGGTTATTCTTCCCTGGAGGCAATCCTGTTCGCGTTAGGTAAGACTGTCATGAACGTCAAAGCTTTTTCCTTTAAGTATTTAACTTTTTCAGTTTATTTTTGCCTAAATTGAAGTTAAAATATTGAAAATAAATTAAGAGAGTAACTGTTTTCAGTGTGCTGGCTGGGTTTTTATTACCCTCTAAAGTGCTTGTTTTTAAGTGATGCTTGGAATTTTTGTTTATTTTTTTATTTTTTTATTGAATTTACTTTTAGCTTTTGAATTTCATGAACATGGATGCTAAAGTGTGCTGATATTTCATACATGAAAATAAATTGATTTGTTTGTGTTGATTGCTAGTAAGATAAAATGATGGAGATGAAAGTGTGTGTGAGAAATTGGTGCGGTAAGTACCATAGCAATTTACCTCAGGTAGTTTGGTTGAGGCAAGTGTGAAGAACATCAATTGAAGTGCTAGTGAGAAAAAAAAAATGAATCAAATGGAGGTTTTGCCCTCTTAAAGGATGGAAGAATACCCAAGAAAATGTTTGTCATCAGGTTCCAAGTTGCAAGTGGGACACTGTTTTTGGAGTGTTTTTATGGATTTGTGCAATGGAGCTCGATGGTGGCAGAGTGGAGGGATGAGAACCTAATAAGTGAGGGTATTGGAGAATGGAGAGAACAATGTATGCCTAAGGTAGGAGTCCTTTATAACATAACAGTTCAAGGATTGAAGCATTCAGAGGTGTTGAGCTGCTTGAGCATGATTTACTGAATCTTGTAGAAGTTTGTCCAGACCTCGGGTTGGGCTGGGATTTGAGATGGCAGAGCCAAATCCATGGTTTTAGTTTCATGCCTGGATTTCATCTAAGTTTTGAGGGGAGTTCTAAAGCAACTTAATGGACATGTGGACAGTGTGTTGGGTCCAGAACAGAAAATATTAAGAGAAACATTTATAACAATTAGACTTTGCACTAAATGACAGAGGCAATCAATTTTACCTCTAGTGGAGTGAGACAAGGCTTGGTTATTGTTGTATGCTGATTACTAACATGCATGTCTAGCCTGTTCAAACTTTAAATGGTAATATGTCATGCTCATAAGCCTGTGAAAAGTGGACAGCTTAGCCAGGTTAGAGTTCAGAAATAAATTAAAAGCTCAGTTTTATAATGTTTTCCCTCAGTGCATCTGCCTATTTCTTGGTTTATTTTGGGAAGTGTTGCAACAATGATGGTATGAGGATTTAACCTGATAACCAGTACTTTATAAGTGAATCACTTTCCATGAATCATAACATTTTATTATATTCAGAGATCTTTACTTAGCAGCCATACAATTCTGCTAAAAAGTCTCAGCAAAACGTTTTAGCTGGTTTACTTTATATTCTTCTTTGCTATTCAAATTAAAAATGTATAAAATTTAATACATGTTGGTATGTTTTAATAGAAGGGCTTTAGTCACCCTAATATTTGAAAACATGAAGATTTAAGATACCCTTGCTCAACATAAAATCATGTATAACTAAAACATGTGACTGTACTCATTGTCAAGCACAATAGTGGTCATTCTAAGCTCTATTGAAATATGTTTTTGAAGGGTCAATCTTAGCATAATCCACATAATGTTGGTAATTTATTATAAAACCCTGAGAGTACGAAGAGACTTGAGTGTTGAAGACTGATCTCTATTAAGCACTGTCATGATCATATAGTTATGCACAACTGTCTCTCCTTATTTTTTCCATTTTGCATATTGTTGAAAGGCAATGGTTTTTTGCCTTTTATGTGGTTAACAAATAAAGTCATAACTTGTGAAAGGAAAAGAAGGCCACCAAAAGTTCCAGTTATAAGAGTGGATTGTATGGTTTTTATCCCTGTGAAAAGGATCTAGGTTTGACCAAGAAGGACTTTAGAGGAAATTGTTAAAAGGGATCTCATGGTAAATAATATTTCTGAAAATTTGGTTTTTAGCCGATCTAATGGCATTGTGTAATCCATGTTGTTGAGCTCACCTATTTGGAAAAAACTTTTGTTATTGTTGGTGTTTTTGGGTCTTGAATAATCAATATTTATTTGAGGTGCATATTTCTCGTGTATTTAGTGTTGCTTTTGTTTGTGAATTCCTTGGCTTAAAAGGGTAACTTATCAAATGCTCAAATTGTAACAGAAATTATATATTGATTTGGTTAACTTTAAAAAAAGTTGGTAGGAAACTTATTGAATTTAAGAAGTGAAGAATTCTTTCAGCTTGAGATGTCATGTAAAATCATTCACGTGTCTTTGGGATTGTTTGTTCATGACACGTTCTGTGATTTTAGTGAATTAAGAAAATGATGCACTAAACATTTTTAGTTGAAATTCAAAGGTCACTTGCTATAGTTTTCATGCTGTTGGATATGAAACTTGAAATATTAAGATTTTAGTAAGTCATTGGGAACCACAGACTTGACAAAGCCAAAGATTCCTGGTACTTGCTAGACTGGAATGGCTCAACTTGTTTCCATATATGGGAAGCTAGATCAGATGTTCAGTTATTCTTATATTCTCTATTTATGTCTCTGAATTTTGTTGTTGATAGTTCCTTGTCGTTTTCGTGAAGCTCCTGAAGTGGTTGAGAAGCCTGGGGATAACTCATTGGCAAGGCTTAGATTGTTGTACACTCAAGCAAAAGATCTTTCAGAGAATGAAGCAAGGTATGTTTAATCTGTTTGTAGCTCTGAAGCATTTGATGTGAACTGCATTTTATTTCCTTTTATGCTGAAAATCATTAAGATGTGAATGTTGATGTTAGAGTAATTCTGATATACTGTGTCCAGACTAGGCATTCTATGATTATTGATATTGATTTCGGTTGCAGTATTTCCAACTTACTGATAAGTCAAATTGATGCCCTACTGCCTACGGGTCCACAAGGGCAAACCCGAAGAAGAATAGGTTTGTCTCAAATCTGTGACAAATATATTTTCCTTTCAGTTGAAACCATGATCACCTCTGTAATTAAGCTTATACATTTAGAATTCATCCATAAAATACATACTATCAACAGATCTGAATCTTTCAATATGTTTCTCTCTTCATATTTCTTTCTTATTTATGTTATATGTATTAGCTGGAGGGACTAGGTATGATTGACCAACATTGTAGAACCAAAGCAAGTGCCTAAAGCATTAGAGTTCTGCTTTTCCTGGGGAAGGAAAGTAGGAAGCAAATAAAATGAGGAAGAAAGGGGGGAGATAAAAAAAAAAAGTTATGTTTGACCATTTTTGTGACAATTACATGCCAAATTTCCATTGATTTTTTATATTGCTGTTTTTTGGTTGTTTAAGATTTTTTCTCTCCTTTTTTTCTTTTCCAGGAAAAGGTAAAGTTACTGCTTTGGATACTCATCAATATAGTTGACATCTCTGCTGCCATGTTGGTCAATCTTGTATAGTCCAGCTACATGAAGAAGAAAATGGGGGAGGGAGGGCATGCTAATGTGTAATTTTAAGTAAAACTTAAAATTGTGTTAATTGATTCATTTATATTTACATTCATTCCTTCTTGACTTATATGGTGGAAAGAGAATGGTAATCAGTGCTGGGTATATCATGATTTCATTTCCCTTGAGATGCCAGTTTTTATATACCTTATCTAGCTGACAATAGTTGTGTTACAGAAGGTAATGAGCAGAAAAGGAAACGAGTGAAAACTGAATCAGACATTTCAAGGCTAACTCCTAGTATGCGGCATCAACTTGAGACTTGTGCCAGTCTTAAAGGTGAACAGGTATGCATTTGCACTTAAGTTTAATCAATTCAAATCAGTATATATTGAACCCATTGCTTTTTATTGATAAGGTTTATTTTTATTTGCCACAGTATACAGCACCATGTGTGCAGTACATTGATTCTTGCTTTTAATATTAATAAGTTTGCATGGGTTAAACTGCTTTTGTTACTTCATTTAAAGCTTACAGGTGGTAGAAATTCAGTTATAATTAGTTAATTTAGCTGTTAAATAGTTATAATTCTGTTATTTGTTTGCTAGTTCATAAAACTGAGATCTAACAAGTTCTATGTATAAACATTAGAACCTCTCACTAGGTTATGTATATCAATTGTAATAACATTTTCACAGACATAGCTCTATTTTCTCTTGTAGTATTTTTTCAGGGAATATTTTCTAATATTCTTAAATGAAGCATCTTGAGTTACATTCCATCAAGTTAATTTCATGTCATTTCCTACTTCTCAGGTAGCAGCTAGGGTCACACCACGAAATGCTGATAAGGACGAATGGTTTGTTGTAAAAGTGATTCATTTTGATAAGGAATCAAAGGAGTAAGTATACATTTTGTAATTAAGTAATCATGTATTGAGTTCAAGCAATCAATAAGATGTGTTCTTTCATTTGCATAGTATTAAATTACTCACCTCTATGGTTATTTCTTATCATGACACCATTGTTGTTTGGGGAATGACATGCTTTAAAATATCTACAAGGCAGACTTTGTGTAAGGTTTGTACAGAATGTAGGGGAGGTATGTTAATTTCTTATACAACCAAGGGCGTAGTAGAGATGCAAGAACAGTACATAAAGTAAAGGACAGTAATTTCCCAAATGAGTAGAATTGAGTGTAATAAGTGGTAACATTAGACATATTTAGTGTAATTATCCCTATTTATTTTTCAAGAAAAGATTATACCACATTGAAGCCTTAAAGACATTATCTATAATGCAGGGTATTATGTTGGGAGTTGAGTTCTAACAATTGTATATTTAGCCTATTCTATCTTTCTTAATGACTGACTAGCTTGATCTGCTTTATGACTTGGAAATACACTCATGTGATGTGATAAGGTTATTTTTTCACAAAGGATAAAAGAGTGTTGAGTAAGTGTTGTTTATATACTAGGTTACTACTATTCATTGTGGACTGGTGAGTAGTGATTACATGTGGCCCATGCTTGCCATGCTTAAGTCAATCATCAGCTCCTTGTTTGGATTGAGTCTGCTTGACTGTGTCTTTACCAAACTAAATGAGTTTGTCATTCGACCAACTTTAATCTGTATGAATAGCTCAGATTTTTTACTGTAAGTTAATGTTGCTTGTGTATGATTTGTAATGATTGACTGAAAGAATAGTACCCATTTGGACATTAATCTTTTGTGATTGTCCTTTTCGATTAATTTATTTGTTCTTCTGTTACATGAATTTTCAGATTTGAAGTACTGGATGAGGAACCAGGTGATGATGAAGAAAGCAGTGGCCAAAGGTAACCTAACCTGTCTGAACATTTGTCATGTTTAATTATCCAGAGTGCTCATGTTGTGTACTTGCTTTGCTTGAGGTTCTACTTTAAACTTGCATTAGAATTTCTTTTAACATTGCCTACCACTGCAACTGTTAAACGTTTGAATGAAGTGTTTATTTTGATTGGTTTCTCCTGCTGCATTCAGACAATACAAGCTTCCCATGGGAAATATCATTCCTTTCCCCAAGATTAATGATCCTTCTAGCGCCCCAGATTTTCCTCCTGGAAAACATGTTTTGGCAGTTTATCCAGGAACTACTGCACTTTATAAAGCAACAGTTGTTCAAGGCCATCGCCGAGTAATAATTCTCTCATCTTCCTTTGTGGAGTGGGATTACTTCTTATTTCATGACTTCCACTAATTTGTAGTCTATTGGTTCTAACCTAATACTGACCATTTTTATTTTGCATGCTCTGGGTTATTCTCCAACATTTTCCAATTGTGCAGAGGAAGACTGAGGAGTAAGTATAATCTATTAAGGCTTCATGGAATCATGTTTAGTTCTAAATATTATTTATCAGTCACAGAAAATCAAATGGCATTATGATTTATTTTTACTTTAATGTCCAATGGATTTCCAAATTTTAAAAACTATTGAATGCACAAGTCTTTCTTTTTGTTCTTTCTGAATTTTAAAAACCTATTGAATGCACAATAGAATTATTTGGCTGGTGTTTAAAGAGTATTTAACATGTCTCTATAAATTTATGAAAATTGGCTAGGCCTTTCGTCAAGTTGTGCTGTTCTCAGTCCAAATCAAAAGTAGCACAAGGACAATTGAAGTAGGATAAGGATATAAATAGGGTCATGCAAGTTGTTTAGTTCATTGAAAATAATATAAAGATTAAATATGGCTTTTGCCCATCACTTTTTGTTTCTAGAATCTTCAAACTATTGTGTTAGTCTACCAGAATTCAAATTGGTAGGTGTTAATATATCTGCTAGAGCAAGTATTTGAAGTACAACAACAAAAGAAATAAATGTGCTTTTGGATCTGAGCCCTTTCTTTTATTAGCTCAACTGTTTTGTTTGTCACATTATGTCATGGCTGTTCACTCTCTGAGTTGATTGGAACAGTTATGTGTTGGAATTTGATGATGATGAGGAAGATGGATCTTTACCCCAAAGGACAGTGCCCTTCCACAAAGTGGTTCCTCTTCCAGATGGACATCGCCAATGAATTTAAACTATTTATAGCTGTGTATAAAGTAGAAACTAGAGTATTGCATTCCGTACCACTTGTGTAATATGCTCCACTGCGTGTTTTTATGGTTTGTAAGAATGACATCGCAACCTAATTTCAAGTAAGAATGACACTGCAGTTTAATTTCACGATAGCTAGGAATGATAAATGTCCAATCCAAGGTTAGTTCTTGCCAACTTTGTTGTTCTTGCCCCTTATCTTCATTAATTGTAAAAAAAAAAAATAACATCTATCGTCAAAAAAGCCGATAAAAATTTCTTATTAATCTGATTGTTGCAGTTATTTAGCCAAAAAAAAAATTGACTGAAAGTTATCTAGTAAAATGTAACTACAACAAAATTCAACTTTTATCATGTAAGTGTAAAAATTCAGGTATTGTGATGTGTGGAAAAAATCATACAAAACTAAAACTGATGACATTTTATTTTTGGTTCATAGTACCTCATTTTGACAGAAATAATAAATCTGTTCACCTATGATAAATGAGTTGCCAATAGGTTACTGCAACTTTAATGAACCATCTGATAACATACTTCCAACATTTTTCATAAAAAAAATTATAAAATAAAGAAAAGACTCTGCACAATAAGGGACAAGTATATTAAAGAAGGATGTTATACATCATCAGAAAGTTAGACACCAGGACTCTGGAGAACTTGGGAGAAACTTTAGGAGAGAAAACTTGTGAAATACTACCTTGATAGAAGCCTCTTTTTATAGCAAGAAATGATGAAGTCTAACAATGAACAATTGCACTTGCACATTGACATAGGGGGAAAAATTCTGAATTTCCTCTCCTTATTCCAGAAATCTGATTATAAACCAAGAACCAGGTATATAAATATACCCCAAAGAAGCTTTCTCCTTTTCACCGGAATCTACCCAATTTTACCAAATATTCAAAAGTTCCCTTCACTACTTGATACAGAGCTTATTTATAAGGTTAGGGAATACAAAATTGAACTAATTAACCCTCCTAACCTCTTATCAATGTGTTACACTTTGACTCTTTCCTTTCCACAAGAAGCTCTCCAACTGTTTTCTTGAGCTGAGAAACATGACAAATTGGGTGTATCTGATTCTGTTCTAGAAGTTGCACTTTAAAAGCTACTTACTACTCCTATCTGTTTTAGAACCAAAAAAGGTCCATAATATCTGGAAGACAGTTTTGGGTGTGATCGGGTACGCATAGAGAGCTGTTTGTGAGTCGAATGTTAAAATAACTCCAATCATTTGTATGAGTTGTTTTCTTGTGAAAATTAGTATAATGATTCATCCAATTTTGAGTTTTTTCCAAATGAAACTTTACTTGTTTCAAAGATTTCATGTCAATCCAATAGAGGGATTGTGCTAGCTTGCGATATGTTCTATAAATGGGTGAATGTTGTTCTATGGAGGAGGCATAAAATTCCTTTAGAAGCTTGAGAATCCATACGAGGAGGCTCATAACACCAATCTACCTTTATACTGCAATCTATCTTGTTTTAGAGTGATTGTGCTAGCCTGCGATATATTTCATCATTACACCTTGAATAGTCTAGAAATAAAAGGAAGAAAAATAGAAAATCAACAAGTTTTTTTTAATAACTATCATCTTCCTTCACATCACGAACTTTCACACTTTTTTAATAATCAATCACTTTATTATCTTTTTATTTTATTTTAAAAAATTAAGAGGCACTTCCCTTACCAATATTAAATGAATTTTTGGTTTAGTAATTAAGCATTGTTGTTTGAGGTTATGAATGGTTCAATTCTTATAACTTTTTTTTTCTTCACATAATTATTTTTCACCTAATTAATGAATGTATTTAAATTAGATAATTTTAGAATGAATATGAAAGATTTAATTGCTTAGAAATATTTAGTATACACTAAATTTGAAAAATATATTTATATATAAGTCATTATATTTTAAAATTAAAAAAATTAATATATTATATTAATTATTAATTGCAATCCTAATATATAATTTAAATATAATCAATGAAAAAACTATAAATCATAAAAATTAATATATAACAAAATATTATTTATTATGTTTTTTCCATTTTTTTTTTGGTAAAGATATGTTTTTTCCAACTAATATATTAAAACTCACAAATATTTATGTTTATTATTTAATATTTTCAACCTCCATTAAATATAGAAACGTTATAATTGAATAATTTTATCATTTTACATGTTGGTTAACTTTGAACTTAACTTTATCTTTACATTTAACTAAAATTATAATTTAAACTTATTTTTTATCTTTATCTTTATATGCTTCATAATGATTAAATTGTTGAAATTATTTTTATCGTGTTACAAATCGAATTTATAAGTATATTATATATTATCATCTTTTAGGAACAACATATATAAATAAATTATATTGAAATCTTATTTAATTTTTAAGAAAACGTACTATTTGATTTACATATTATATTCTTCTTAATATATATATTGTTGAGAAAAGATACATACTAGAAGGGGGTTGAATAATATATATCAAAATCTCGCACTTTTGAAAATAGTAAAATAGTAAAAACTTGACAAACACAATGCTGAAATGCAACAAATGAAGGAACACAAGTCTTTTATACTGGTTCACCTAAAACACAAAGACTACGTCTAGTTCTCAGTTTAACTAGATTGAATTTAACTATCTTTTACAAGATGTAAGTATTCTTTCAACAAGTCACTTTTGCCTCAATCCCAAATAGTATTTTCCTTGCCCCTCCAAGCAAACAACCCCAAGTATTCTTTAACAAATAAGTCCCTCTAGCCTTAATAACCAAATATTCTTTTAACTACAAGCCTCTCTCGGCTCAATCCTTATAAATAGAAATTTGAAAAGAGTTACAAGGATAATTTCGTTTCTTCTATATGTGATGCTACAAAAATTAAGCACAAATAAATTGTACAAGATATAATTTATCTACAAGGTATGCACTTAGAAAATTTTCACGATTTCGTAACTTCATTTCTTGTTTCTCTTACTTTCTTGCTTCTTCACCCTTGTTGTCTTGATTGAGAATCCCTCATATAGTAGCTTGGAAGAAAATGACCATTGAGCAATCTTCTTAGGATGTTTCGTTTGTCATCTCTTTGAGACTAGAGAGAGGGTAAATTAGCAGTTATTGCAAGCATTTAATACATTGCGTGAAAATGTTCATCTCTTATTTGATCTTGGTAGTTACTTATCATCATTTAGTTAGGTAGGGTAAAAAATAGTGGCTAAATTAGAGTAGTGCAGCGTGTTCAGAGTTCCTGTCCACTTTTTCCATGATTTCTGAAATTTTTCTCTTTCTTTCTTGACGCAGAGATTGACTTTCCATTCTTAACAAATTTTGGTGTCTTCAAGGAAACTGTTTCATTCGATTCGTTAAGGAATAAAGTATTCAATACTCTTAATAATAATTTGACTTGATAACGAGAAATAAATTCAACAGAAAGACAGATTGTATGTTTTGTTTGATGTCCTTCATCTTACAAACGAAATATGATGTTTGCTTTGTCTAAAATAGTCTCTTTAAAAAAATTGTTTTTTATCATCAAAACTTACAGACTTTTGAGAGATCCAAGATTGTCTTTTGATTTTACATATATATAAAAGGAAGGATCAAATTACTTTAAAAGTAAGTTTTGGTATAAGTATTTCACTCAATAACTCATGATGTATATTGAATTTCACCATTAAATTAAAAGTTTTTAATGTATAAATCAAATCTAAAAAAAAATTAATAAAATTTTAAAGCAACATTATAGTTTTCACCAACAAAATTGTTTTTTTTTTCTTATAATTAATAATAATTAATTATTAGGTTTTGACAAAAAAAAAATTACTATACAATTTATAGGGATCAAAATTAAAATTTACTTATTTTATAAGGATCAAAAATAATATTTATAAATTTTAGAAGGATGAAAAAAAAAAATTAGAAGGACCAAAATCAAAATCATCAATTTTATAGGGATTAAAAACATATTTAAATCTAATAATAATTGTACTGTATTCACTATTTTTTTATAATTGACTTTTTAATAAATTCAATTTCTTGATTTTTATTAATATAATGATTAATATATATATATATATATATATATTTATATATATATATAAGTACTAATTAATTACCATTTCAAATTATTAATCACTTAAGATTAATTGTAATGATATTATAAAATTTATCATAATTATTAATACTTAAAAATAATTGTACTAAACGCAATCTATTGGATTATAGTTACGAAAATATTTCAATCTTTATTTGGTTTTATCAAAAATTAATTAATTAAAGAAATTCATATTCAAATATTATATATGTGAGGAAAAATTGAAAACAGAAGAAAAAAAAAAGGAAACAATAAGAATTAAGCGGATTGAAGGTTTCCTTTATAAACAAATAAAACATTTGAGTATATCAATGATCGATATCCAACTTTGAATATATCAATACATTTGATTCAATATTAACATATTTTCTTTCATTCCTTTCTCCACAATTTCTTTTTATTAACAAATAATTAAAATTCATATTCAACATATTAAATAACAACAATAACAATAATGATAAAAATACATTGAATCACAAATAACAACAACAATTTTAATAATAATAATAATAATAATAATAATAATAATAATAATAATAATAATTACCTATATATTTTTTGCATTCACTTTCGAAGTTTTTATCAACTTCTCACTCTTTATTTGTCAACATTAGTTTAAATTTCTTAAATTAATATGTGATAAGATAATCCATCTTTTTATCATGAATGAAAGTCTGGGATGATAATTGAATAATATAGGGGTGAGAAATTTTATACTTATTAATAGTACAATTTAACTAAAGTCAATATGAAGTAGATGTCCTTAATTTGCATTAGCATTATTAAATTTATTAATTTCTAATTTGTTTTACAATTAATAGAAAAAATAACATTTGAATTTTAAAAGGGTGAAAAGTCCTAGAAAAAAGTGGGTCCAAAATGAGTGAAAAAATATTTTAAGAGCCTATTTACTTTTAATAATATATAAATGATAATACATTTATTAAGAATAAGACTATTTTAATAAAGTGGTATAAAAAATAATATATTTATTATTATTTTTAATCAATCTCATATATATTAAATACGAACCACTATGATGTGAGAGTGTTATATTTTATGATTTTTTTCCAAG